CCCACTCTGAGTGGAAGCAAGAAAGGTATCAACACATGGGTGCTGGCAGTTCATGTTCTGGGGGCTGACTACCACTGCTGCCTACCTGCCCTGACAGCAGCAGCTGCTGTCAAAGCACAGCCTATGTTATCCCTTCCTATGCCACCATGGTTTGGATCACATCATATTCATGGAGCTGCAATTATTTCCCATTGCATTTTGTGTGCTTAAGGGGCCCAATCTCAAACCCAACTGGAGCTCGGTGTAGCAGAAGATGGGGTTTCAGCCCTCACCACCTCTTCAGTAGTGGTGGTTGATTTTGATGGAGCTCAGAAGTCCAGACAAAGCTTTGGTGGAGATTGTCATCTGGTACTCAAGCCACCTCTTGGCCCCAGGTTTTCCTCCCAAAGCAAAGCATGGCCTGGATTCACCCTACCTATGTTTGTTCAGGCACCTAAATGGAGGTACCCAAGAGAGAACCCTGTCATACCCTGCTCTCTCCAAAGTCAGGGCGGAGGGATGGGAATCTCAGAGGATGATTCATTGCTAGGTGCCCCACTTATTTCTCTCCATCGACTACATGGGAACAATTTTAACTTTTAAGGTAATGATTGGATGCTACAAGCACATAGATGAATCTGGGATAAGCATCACTCACTTTGAATTTTCCTATTGTGTTTTTTTTAATCTTAAAGATGTTTATTGAAATATAAAATACAGATGTCTTGGCTGAATTTTGACTCTTCACAGCTACCTCATTGCTGTACTGTTAGCCACCTTCAGGTCACTTTAAATAGCACTTTCTGATTCTCTGTGTGCATTTGTAGTGAAGGTGCTGAAGTCATTGCGAAGAATCCGATATTGTCTGGTTTTAATACATTACTTAATCTGCTCAGGACTAAGCCAAGGCAGACTTGTTCTTCAGGCAGTTTCCATTTTGATGTAGTATTTACTTTAAACGAAAGGCCGTGATCCTGTTCAAAGACGTGATTTCCCCCTCTCTCCCCTGCTGTCATTAGAGCCAGATAACAGGAAGAGTCAGTAAGATAACTGCCACTTATTTGGATTTCACTGAAGCTTTCAGGCAGAAATGGGGATGCCAGCCAGAGCCAAATCAATTCATTTGAATGATTTACTGATTATCTGTTAGTTATTCCCTGATTATCTTGCCTGGTGTCCAGGACTAGCTCTTTGCCTTTGGGCTTGGGTTGGCTGTTTGTTTTAACCTACTATTTCTAGGGAATATTCTGCATCTTGAGTAGTGCATCCCAGTGTGTAGAGACAAGAATAACTGGCGCTGGAAAAACTGAGGACTGGTATGTTAATAACTGACAGAAAAAAAGCTTGATCGTAGTTTTTCATGAGGGCATCTTAACTTGTTAGTGAAACAGAGCTAACAAAGCGGCCTTTGATATCTCCTTTCAAGACTATGGCTTAAACATTTGGATCGCTGCTTTTGTGTCATGATTAATATTTAAATTATGGATGGTCCAAGAGCTCCCCACCAAGATACACTGAACAGGGCACTATGCGGATCATACCTGTAGAAGAATTTAGTCTAAAAAACTGGTCAGGGAGCAGGTGAACAGTCACAGACTGGCATGGATGCGGTCACCTAAGCTCCAGCAGCAGCATGCCACAGCAGAGGTAGGTGTCTAGGTCCCCAGTTTCCAGTCCAGAGTGGCTGGACCATGGTCTTCCTCCCTTGGCTGGCAGCACAGTGCTACTGTCGCCACTGCTGCAACCCTCGCTGGGTGTTCATGTTCTCCATTCTGGTAGTGTTCAGACAAAAAAAAAACCTGATCCCTAACACTTGACTTGAACGTAACCTTTCCTTCCACAGAGTCTACCATCATACAGGGCAAGGAACTATAGCAACATTTTGGAACTTTGAGTTAATAACACTGAGATGCTAAAGTTAAA